TAGTAACAGTTAGGCTAGTGACAGTTAGGCTAGTAGCAGTTAGGCTAGTAACAGTTAGGCTAGTAGCAGTTAGGCTAGTGACAGTTAGGCTAGTGACAGTTAGGCTAGTGACAGTTAGGCTAGTAACAGTTAGGCTAGTAACAGTTAGGCTAGTAGCAGTTAGGCTAGTAACAGTTAGGGCTAGTGACAGTTAGGCTAGAAACAGTTAGGCTAGTAGCAGTTAGGCTAGTGACAGTTAGGCTAGTGACAGTTAGGCTAGTAGCAGTTAGGCTAGTGACAGTTAGGCTAGTGACAGTTAGGCTAGTAACAGTTAGGCTAGCAGCAGTTAGGCTAGCAGCAGTTAGGCTAGTAACAGTTAGGCTAGTAACAGTTAGGCTAGTAGCAGTTAGGCTAGTGACAGTTAGGCTAGTAACAGTTAGGCTAGTAACAGTTAGGCTAGTAACAGTTAGGCTAGTGACAGTTAGGCTAGTAACAGTTAGGCTAGTAGCAGTTAGGCTAGTAACAGTTAGGCTAGTAACAGTTAGGCTAGTAGCAGTTAGGCTAGTGACAGTTAGGCTAGTAACAGTTAGGCTAGTAACAGTTAGGCTAGAGACAGTTAGGCTAGTAACAGTTAGGCTAGTAACAGTTAGGGCTAGTGACAGTTAGGCTAGTAACAGTTAGGCTAGTAACAGTTAGGCTAGTAGCAGTTAGGCTAGTAACAGTTAGGCTAGTAACAGTTAGGCTAGTGACAGTTAGGCTAGTGACAGTTAGGCTAGTGACAGTTAGGCTAGTGACAGTTAGGCTAGTAACAGTTAGGCTAGTAACAGTTAGGCTAGTGACAGTTAGGCTAGTAACAGTTAGGCTAGTAACAGTTAGGCTAGTAACAGTTAGGCTAGTGACAGTTAGGCTAGTGACAGTTAGGCTAGTGACAGTTAGGCTAGTGACAGTTAGGCTAGTAACAGTTAGGCTAGTAACAGTTAGGCTAGTGACAGTTAGGCTAGTGACAGTTAGGCTAGTAACAGTTAGGCTAGTAACAGTTAGGCTAGTGACAGTTAGGCTAGTGACAGTTAGGCTAGTAGCAGTTAGGCTAGTAGCAGTTAGGCTAGTAACAGTTAGGGCTAGTAACAGTTAGGCTAGTGACAGTTAGGCTAGTAGCAGTTAGGCTAGTAACAGTTAGGCTAGTAGCAGTTAGGCTAGTGACAGTTAGGCTAGTGACAGTTAGGCTAGTAACAGTTAGGCTAGTAGCAGTTAGGCTAGTAACAGTTAGGGCTAGTGACAGTTAGGCTAGTAACAGTTAGGCTAGTAGCAGTTAGGCTAGTGACAGTTAGGCTAGTGACAGTTAGGCTAGTAGCAGTTAGGCTAGTGACAGTTAGGCTAGTGACAGTTAGGCTAGTAACAGTTAGGCTAGCAGCAGTTAGGCTAGCAGCAGTTAGGCTAGTAACAGTTAGGCTAGTAACAGTTAGGCTAGTAGCAGTTAGGCTAGTGACAGTTAGGCTAGTAACAGTTAGGCTAGTAACAGTTAGGCTAGTAACAGTTAGGCTAGTAACAGTTAGGCTAGTGACAGTTAGGCTAGTAACAGTTAGGCTAGTAGCAGTTAGGCTAGTAACAGTTAGGCTAGTAACAGTTAGGCTAGTAGCAGTTAGGCTAGTGACAGTTAGGCTAGTAACAGTTAGGCTAGTAACAGTTAGGCTAGTAACAGTTAGGCTAGTAACAGTTAGGGCTAGTGACAGTTAGGCTAGTAACAGTTAGGCTAGTGACAGTTAGGCTAGTGACAGTTAGGCTAGTAACAGTTAGGCTAGCAGCAGTTAGGCTAGCAGCAGTTAGGCTAGTAACAGTTAGGCTAGTAACAGTTAGGCTAGTAGCAGTTAGGCTAGTGACAGTTAGGCTAGTAACAGTTAGGCTAGTAACAGTTAGGCTAGTAGCAGTTAGGCTAGTGACAGTTAGGCTAGTAACAGTTAGGCTAGTAACAGTTAGGCTAGTAGCAGTTAGGCTAGTAACAGTTAGGGCTAGTGACAGTTAGGCTAGTAACAGTTAGGCTAGTAGCAGTTAGGCTAGTGACAGTTAGGCTAGTGACAGTTAGGCTAGTAGCAGTTAGGCTAGTGACAGTTAGGCTAGTGACAGTTAGGCTAGTAACAGTTAGGCTAGCAGCAGTTAGGCTAGCAGCAGTTAGGCTAGTAACAGTTAGGCTAGTAACAGTTAGGCTAGTAGCAGTTAGGCTAGTGACAGTTAGGCTAGTAACAGTTAGGCTAGTAACAGTTAGGCTAGTAACAGTTAGGCTAGTAACAGTTAGGCTAGTGACAGTTAGGCTAGTAACAGTTAGGCTAGTAACAGTTAGGCTAGTAGCAGTTAGGCTAGTGACAGTTAGGCTAGTAACAGTTAGGCTAGTAGCAGTTAGGCTAGTGACAGTTAGGCTAGTAACAGTTAGGCTAGTAACAGTTAGGCTAGTAACAGTTAGGCTAGTAACAGTTAGGCTAGTAGCAGTTAGGCTAGTGACAGTTAGGCTAGTAACAGTAAGGCTAGTGACAGTTAGGCTAGTAACAGTTAGGCTAGTAGCAGTTAGGCTAGTAACAGTTAGGCTAGTAGCAGTTAGGCTAGTAACAGTTAGGCTAGTAACAGTTAGGCTAGTAGCAGTTAGGCTAGTGACAGTTAGGCTAGTAACAGTTAGGCTAGTAACAGTTAGGCTAGTAGCAGTTAGGCTAGTAACAGTTAGGGCTAGTGACAGTTAGGCTAGTAACAGTTAGGCTAGTAGCAGTTAGGCTAGTGACAGTTAGGCTAGTGACAGTTAGGCTAGTAGCAGTTAGGCTAGTGACAGTTAGGCTAGTGACAGTTAGGCTAGTAACAGTTAGGCTAGCAGCAGTTAGGCTAGCAGCAGTTAGGCTAGTAACAGTTAGGCTAGTAACAGTTAGGCTAGTAGCAGTTAGGCTAGTGACAGTTAGGCTAGTAACAGTTAGGCTAGTAACAGTTAGGCTAGTAACAGTTAGGCTAGTAACAGTTAGGCTAGTGACAGTTAGGCTAGTAACAGTTAGGCTAGTAGCAGTTAGGCTAGTGACAGTTAGGCTAGTGACAGTTAGGCTAGTGACAGTTAGGCTAGTGAGAGTTAGGCTAGTAACAGTTAGGCTAGCAGCAGTTAGGCTAGCAGCAGTTAGGCTAGTAACAGTTAGGCTAGTAACAGTTAGGCTAGTAGCAGTTAGGCTAGTGACAGTTAGGCTAGTAGCAGTTAGGCTAGTAACAGTTAGGGCTAGTAACAGTTAGGCTAGTGACAGTTAGGCTAGTAGCAGTTAGGCTAGTGACAGTTAGGCTAGTGACAGTTAGGCTAGTAACAGTTAGGCTAGTGACAGTTAGGCTAGTGACAGTTAGGCTAGTGACAGTTAGGCTAGTGACAGTTAGGCTAGTAACAGTTAGGCTAGTGACAGTTAGGCTAGTGACAGTTAGGCTAGTGACAGTTAGGCTAGTGACAGTTAGGCTAGTAACAGTTAGGCTAGTAACAGTTAGGCTAGTGACAGTTAGGCTAGTGACAGTTAGGCTAGTAACAGTTAGGGCTAGTAACAGTTAGGCTAGTGACAGTTAGGCTAGTAGCAGTTAGGCTAGTAACAGTTAGGCTAGTAGCAGTTAGGCTAGTGACAGTTAGGCTAGTGACAGTTAGGCTAGTAACAGTTAGGCTAGTAGCAGTTAGGCTAGTAACAGTTAGGGCTAGTGACAGTTAGGCTAGTAACAGTTAGGCTAGTAGCAGTTAGGCTAGTGACAGTTAGGCTAGTGACAGTTAGGCTAGTAACAGTTAGGCTAGTAACAGTTAGGCTAGTAGCAGTTAGGCTAGTGACAGTTAGGCTAGTGACAGTTAGGCTAGTAGCAGTTAGGCTAGTAACAGTTAGGCTAGTAGCAGTTAGGCTAGTGACAGTTAGGCTAGTGACAGTTAGGCTAGTGACAGTTAGGCTAGTAGCAGTTAGGCTAGCAGCAGTTAGCTTAGAAACTCCCAAACTAGAACTCTCTGGAACTGCATGAAAACTGAACACAGAATCCTGAACATCAGCGGTGAGTGACCCAAACATAAACTTAACCTAAATCCATAATTCCATCCTCTGCAAATGTTTCTAAAAACTACTTCCGGGTTTTTTGGGATGGCCTTTTCTCGCATTAAAACAGTTTTTTTGTCATGAAAACGTGAACAGATACTTCTGAAATCCTCCGTGCACGTGTGTTAAGAATGTATATGTCTAATGTATTCTCCCATTAACATTGAAGTGTGTTGAGTGACTGGTATTTGTGTTTATTGAGCGTGGCTAGCTCCGGAGGGGCCGGAACTACTGTCGGAGCAATCTACACACATGAATTACAAGCAGAGAGTGCGTTGCCAAAGGGCAGCGGCCATTATTGTTTTGAGAGGTCCGTTATAAGAAATGATGACCTGTAGAACGTTTTGAAAGAGCGTTCTAATCAATGGAGCGTTCTCCTGCTGCTGTGAGGAGCTGGAATAAAGTCGTATTCTCTGTAAGGGAAGAATATGTGCTCTCCAAAGAGAGGGTTGGTTAGAATAAAGCGTATGTTTGCTCTCACACACGAGTGTTATTCTAAGAGTTAACTGAAGTAGGTCTAGTGAGGAAGACACAGATTTAGCTTTATTTAAAGAGGGCACCAGTGGGAAAGACCCCACAGCTAAACCTTACTAGACAGGGTTACCTCCAGAGGGGGGGGATGGGGGGGCACCCCTAGTGGCCTTAGGGGGGATATCCCCCCCTCAATTCTTTTTAGATATGCATGTATACAATTCTCACATCACAAAGTGCTTAACATGTTTTCCATTGGGAGACACCTGACATACGATCTAATCTATAATCTAAAACATGATGATAGTAAAACAATTACACAAAGTACAAACACCAAAACAGAAACAGGAAAAATGTGTTATTCTTTATTCTGAACAGGAGTCTCCTCAGCTGAAAAGCAGTTCACTTTTCGCGGTCTAACTGCTAATTTACACATGACGCGTTACAGCACGTACGCGTTGTACGCGCGTAACTTTTTTATTAACTTGTGTTATACGCTCGTATGACGGACGTATGACGGACGTATGACGGACGTATGACGGACGTATGACGGACGTATGACGGTCGTATGACGGACGTATGACGGACGTATGACGGACGTATGACGGTCGTATGACGGTCGTATGACGGTCGTATGACGGACGTATGACGGACGTATGACGGTCGTATGACGGACGTATGACGGACGTATGACGGTCGTATGACGGTCGTATGACGGTCGTATGACGGACTTATGACGGTCGTATGACGGTCACATGACGGACGCATGACGGACGTATGACGGACGTATGACGGACGTATGACGGACGTATGACGCTCGTATGACGGACGTATGACGGACGTATGACGGACGTATGACGGACGTATGACGGACGTATGACGGACGTATGACGGACGTATGACGGACGTATGACGGACGTATGACGGACGTATGACGGACGTATGACGGACGTATGACGGTTGTATGACGGTCGTATGACGGTCGTATGACGGACGTATGACGGACGTATGACGGTCGTATGACGGACGTATGACGGACGTATGACGGTCGTATGACGGTCGTATGACGGTCGTATGACGGACTTATGACGGTCGTATGACGGTCGCATGACGGACGCATGACGGACGTATGACGGACGTATGACGGACGTATGACGGACGTATGACGCTCGTATGACGGACGTATGACGGACGTATGACGGTCGTATGACGGACGTATGACGGACGTATGACGGACGTATGACGGACGTATGACGGACGTATGACGGTCGTATGACGGATGTATGACGGACGTATGACGCTCGTATGACGGACGTATGACGGACGTATGACGGACGTATGACGGTCGTATGACGTCGTATGACGCTCGTATGACGGTCGTATGACGGACGTATGACGGACGTATGACGGACGTATGACGGACGTATGACGGACGTATGACGGTCGTATGACGGTCGTATGATGGACGTATGACGCGAAGCTGCGCCTAATTTAGGATTGATTTCTAATTTTGTGCGCGCAGCAACGCGTCTCCATTGTAAACACATGTAAAACATGATTTTTATAGTGACCCTTGGATTTAGATCGCAGCTACACACACACACACACACACACAGCACTTGTGTCTAAACATCAGCAGGAGGAGCAGCAGGTTTTACAGTGATTCTGGACATAGTTTTTTTTCTTTCATAAAGTCTGGCGTCTGGCTAAACCAGCACAGAGACCATGAAGACAAACACATGTGGTTTATGTTGCTCTACATCAGTCTCTGTACTGTCCTCTGCACTGCTCCATAGACTACACAGGGACAGCATCAGAAGCCTCAGACCTGCACGGCCTGTGTAGATACTCCCAAATAATGTCACGTGCACATGCGCACAGTCAACGCGTACGCGCTGTTAACGCCTACTGTGGACATTCCCTGTTAGACATTTACTTTTAGCATTATTATCACTGTATATGAACTTGCCATGTTCGTCCTGATTGGTTAAGGAAGAACCAGCGTATTGTGTTCTGCCTCCTGATTGGTTAAGGAAGAACCAGCGTATTGTGTTCTGCGTCCTGATTGGTTAAGGAAGAACCAGCGTATTGTGTTCCGCGTCCTGATTGGTTAAGGAAGAACCAGCGTATTGTGTTCTGCGTCCTGATTGGTTAAGGAAGAACCAGCGTATTGTGTTCTGCGTCCTGATTGGCTAAGGGGCCGTGCCGTGTTTCCTGTATCACAGCATTCACACTGACAAATGTAAATCCATGTCTGAGAGCTAGCAGTGTGACTGTAAGTGCTGTATGCTCATTTTCTCCTTGACAAAACCATGGACTAAACCCACAACATGGTTAGTGCTAAAAGTTGAACTTCTGGACATGGACGATGACAGCAAAGAGGAGCACGGTGCGGAGCCCAGGCCTTTGATGAGGGACTTTCATGCAGCACTAAGCCCATTTTTGTCAAGAAAATTCACCAGACCAAATACTTATCTGTCTCTGAGTGAGCCAGTACCAGACCAAATACTTCTCTGAATCTGAGTGACTTTGATATGACAGTGTGCAGTGTAGCAAGGATAAGCAAGATGGCGCCAGCAGTGTGCACGGCGCTCCGTCTCCCTGCTCTATTTTGCATAATACTCATTGTATGGATCTGTTTTTGCTGTTCTAATGGATCTGCGATGCTTGTGTATGACCGTCAAACATTGTTGAACATTCGAGCATCTCACGATGCTTTCTTGCAGAACTGTACAGCTAGACAGTCTTCATGTCCTCCACCGCCACTCCTCGCGTCTCTACCGGGCGTTCTGCGCACACCTTTTGGTGTGCCCCGGAGGAGACGCTCCCGCAGAAGAAGTAAGCGTGGAGGTATTTTGATTAAAATCAGAGCTTACCTTCGATCCGGAAAGAAAGGCGGCTATGGAAACCCAGCTACGTCTCGGGGAAGTGAGCGTTGTCTCGTCAGTGGTATCCAGGAGGGGCATCAGCTGATGCCGTCGCAATTCTCTGAGCGGCTCCGCACCCGGTGTCCCAGAGCCGCTAACCACCGCGGCGTCAACCAGGAAAACTTTCGCTCGCTAGCACGGACTTCTTCACCGAAAAACGTGGATACACTTCGCATGGCACTGCTTAATGTCAGGTCACTGGCAAGCAAGACCTTCGTACTCAATGATTTCTTCGTTTCCCAGCATTTGGATATCATGTTTTTGACAGAGACATGGTTACGTCCTGGTGAGTCTTCAGCTTTCTCTGAACTTCTACCTCCTGGCGGTTCGTTTTTTAGCTCTCCCCGTACCTCTGGAAAGGGTGGAGGGCTTTAAATCCAGTCTTAAATGCCGACAATGTCCAGCGACAACTTTCTCAAGCTTTGAATTGCAGTTGATTGAAATACAGAGCACTGTGCCCGTCCTGTGCGCGCTGGTATATCGACCTCCAAAGTTTAACAAAGACTTTATTGCAGACTTTTCTGACTTTGTAGCAGGAACTGTTCTTAAATATGATCATTTTTTAATAGTGGGTGATTTTAACATACATGTTTGCTGTAACTCAAAACCTCTGGTAAAGGACTTTTTAAGTGCCATCGATTCTTTTAATCTTACACAGTGGGTTAATGGCCCTACTCATGAAAAGGGCCATACACTTGATCTCGTGTTGTCTCATGGTTTAAATGTAGGCATTGATAATCTTTGTAGTACGCAGATATCGGACCATTTGCCAGTTTTGTTTTCACTAACACTTCCGTGCACTCCAGCTAAACCGTGCGCCTTGGCGCGTATGCGGCGCGTCATGAGCCAGTCGACAGCAGAAGAATTCTCAAATGCTTTTACTCATCTTGTGCCCACACTGGACTTATCACCTTGTTCTGTTGAAGAGGCCACTAGCATGTTTAATTCTACATGCTCCTCCATTTTAGACCTGCTTGCTCCTTTGAAAATGGTTAAATCTAAGTCTGTGTCTGAGCCATGGTTGAATGACTCTACTCGTGCTCTTAGGCGTGAATGTAGACGCGCAGAGAGGAGGTGGAAAAAGGACAGGCTTCACGTTTCTTTGGGCTTTTTGCGAGACTGTTTATCAAATTATCAGAAAGCTGTGAAGTGTGCTAAAGCTGAGTACATGTCAAACTTGATTTCAACAAATCGTAACAGACCCCAAGTTCTGTTTAATGTCTTAAATAGACTTGTGAATCCTATTGACTCAGACTATGCTGTACATTCACAAACATTGTGTGAACATTTTCTGACATTTTTTGTTGACAAGATAACTGCTATTAGGGACTCAACCTCTTTTTTCAAAGTGGTTGATCCCTCTGTAACTTCTGTGTGTTCTGTGGTTTTTGAGCATTTTGAACCTGTGTCCCTTAGCGACCTTTCTGATGTTGTGCATAAATTAAGAGCTTCTAATTGTCCGCTCGATTGTCTCCCTCCTTTCTTATCAAAAATCTTGGAAAAACTGGTTTTTGCACAAATAAAAACTTATCTAGATGCAAATGGCATTTTAGAAAAATTTCAATCTGGCTTTAAGTTACGTCACAGCACTGAGACTGCACTCTTAAGAGTTTTTAATGACCTTATTTTAACTGTTGATTCAGGCTGCTCCACTGTTTTAGTGCTTTTAGATTTAACTGCAGCATTTGACACTGTCAACCATGAAATATTGCTTTCACGCCTCAAAAATCATGTTGGTATTATAGGTACTGCCTTAAGTTGGTTTAGATCGTACCTTGAAAATCGATCTTTTGCCGTCCACCTGGGTCCTTACGCTTCTGGAGCTACCCCACTAAGCTGTGGTGTGCCGCAGGGCTCCATTTTGGGCCCCCTATTGTTTTCAATGTATATGCTGCCCATTGGGTCAATTTTTAGAAAATATAAAATTGACTTTCATTGTTTTGCAGATGATCTGCAAATGTATCTGCCTTTGAAGGCAGGCTCAAACAATGTTCAAGTTTTGTTTGATTGCTTACAGGAAGTGAAGGACTGGATGGCTCAAAATTGTTTAAAGCTTAATGACTCCAAAACTGAAATTGTTGTATTTGGTAACTCATGTGATGCCACTGCTCTAGGCCCTTTGAATATTTATCGTCACGAGTCTGCTAGGAATCTTGGGGTTGTTTTGGACAGTTCGTTTAAATTTGACAGACAATTAAGTTCAGTCGTCAAAAATAGCTTTTTCAGCTGCGTTTGCTCAGCAAAATCAAACCCTATTTGCCTCATGGTGACTTGGAGCGTGTCATTCATGCTTTTATTACGTGTCGCTTAGATTATTGTAACTCTCTGTACTGTGGGCTCGATCAAAAGTCCATTCGTCGTCTGCAGTTGGTTCAAAACGCAGCGGCGCGTTTGCTCACAGGAACAAGGAAACGTGAGCACATATCTCCTGTGTTGGCCTCTCTGCACTGGCTTCCAGTCAGCTTTAGGATTCAATTCAAGATACTGTTGATGGTTTTTAAATGCTTGAATGGGTTGGCTCCATCTTACCTTTCGGAGCTTTTGTTGACCCGTGATCCAGGTCGTACATTGAGATCCTCCAACCAAATGACTCTGGAGGTGCCAAAAGCGAAGCATAAAACCAGAGGAGACCGGGCTTTTGCCGTAGCGGCTCCGAGACTCTGGAACAGCCTTCCGCTGAATGTCAAAATGGCCCAGTCCATTCATGTTTTTAAGTCGTTGTTGAAAACCCATTTTTTTGCTTTGGCCTTCAACACAAGCTGAGCAGATCCCATGTATTTTATTATTATTGTCTCATGTTGTATATTTTGTGACTGTTTTACTCTTCAATTGTATTTACTCTTCAATTGTATTTTATAATGTTTGTTGTACAGCACTTTGGGCGGCTGTGGCTGTTTTAAGTGTGCTATATAAATAAAATTGACATTGACATAACCATACCCACGAAGGCTGCTCATATTAAAGGCACACAAAGGCACACATGTCCGGTGATTTTTATGAAAGTATCAACAAAAATCACTGGAATAAACGTGTGTGAATTTTTTTTTTCCGGGTCATCGGACCTCGACAACGCCCCCACGCAGTCCCCCCCTCAAATAAATTCCTGGTGGAAACCCTGCTAGAGCTCTGCCTTAAAAGTCTAATCTGGAGGTGAGCTCTCTCCACCAGGGAGATCACGATTATGATCAATAACTGTAATCTTATGACTTTAAAGTGGTTTGAGATAAAGGCAAACTGTGAATGAGAAATATCTTCAGTATGAACCAAAGTTTGGGATGGAAGTCGATTCGACGTCTAATTTGCATATTGTGACATCACAAGGTGGCGGCCATATTGGAAAATGTAAATGGAACATTGTTTTTAAACGCTGTGGAACACTCCGGACCTGCTCCCTCTGACTGAGGACGTTAGAGCCATGCATGCACATATTGAGGTATGTCGACCTGAATATGTGCAAACCCTAATAAGTGAGCCAACGTCTAAGCATTGGTCTAAACTGGCAGTTTTGACTCTTTGTGAGGTCATTATTTTCAATCGAAGAAGGGAAGGTGAGGTTTCAAAGATGCCACTGACAGCGTTTACCTTAAGAAGTAAGACTGGGATCCATTCTGACATTGCTCTGGGACTGTCCCAACTTGAGAAAAAGCTGTGTCAGCATTTTCAACGCATTGAAATTAAAGGGAAAAGAAGTCGGAAAGTGCCGGTTCTTTTGACTCCTGAAATGATTGCTTCGATGGAGGTGCTGGTGGAGAACAGAAGGGCCTGTTCCATCTCTGACCATAACCCATACTTCTTTTCCCGCCCGGGCGCAGACACCCACATCAGGGGATCAGACTCCCTACGCCAGGTAGCCAAAGAATGTGGTGCGGTGCATCCAGAGATGCTATCCTCAACCAAACTTAGAAAGCACATAGCTACTATGTCTACAGTTCTCAATATGAAAGAGAATGAAATGGACATACTAGCCAACTTCCTCGGCCATGACATTCGCATCCACAGACAATATTACAGACTACCAGAGGGGACACTGGAGCTGGCCAAAATCAGCAAAGTGTTGATGGCCATGGAGCAGGGAAGTGTGACGGAATTCGAAGGAAAGAGCCTCGACCAGATACAAATTGAGCCTGAAGGTAATTCTTGATATTATTAAAATATGTATGATTTTTTTCCCCTAATGGCCACTTGTATTTTTATTTTCTGTGCGACAGGGAGAGCAGTAGAGATCCTCTCACAAACGGCCGGGCTAAAAGAAACTTCAAGCGGAGAACCTTCAACCATTCATCCAGATGCACCCCATGGTAGTGGCAGTGCCCCTTCTGGTAAGTGTACCAGGTGGGGGATTACAGCCAGGCTGCTTGGTCCTAACCCTGGGAGTGTATATTGCTAATATATTTTTATTTCTCTCCCTAGAACGTGTAAGAAAGCCATGGTCTGCATCTGAGGTGAAGGCTGTGGAGAAGACCATGACGCCTTTCATACAGACTGGAAAAGTCCCTGGGAAGTCTCACTGCCTGGCCTGGCCTGGCCTGGCCTGCATTAATGCCTCACCAGATGACCTTAGACATCGGACATGGAGTGGCATTAAATTCTATGTCAAAAATAGAATCACTGCAATTCGAAAAAAAAATCTAAAATAAAATTCCTTTAAAAGAGTTGTTTGTTTTCTATTGACTGTTTTGTATTACTTAAAGTAGTCCCAGTAAAAAAAGATTATGTCTATGGGTCCCATTCTGAACGGCCCTGTCAAAGGGACCCACCAGGTAACAAAAACGTGTATGTGTGTGTGTGTGTGTGTCTGTGTCTGTGTGTGTGTCTGTGTGTGTGTGTGTGTGTCTGTGTGTGTGTGTGTGTGTGTGTGTGTGTGTGTGTGTCTGTGTGTGTGTCTGTGTGTGTCTGTGTGTGTGTCTGTGTGTGTGTGTCTGTGTGTGTGTCTGTGTGTGTCTGTGTGTGTGTGTGTGTGTCTGTGTGACGCACTTTGAAAAGTCTATCATGACCCGGCCCCTTTCAATGCGGTCCTCATTATTTACAAAGTGAAGGAAAGAAAGAATGATTTCAAATCTGTTTCTCACCATCACTTTGCCAAAGCCAGGAGTGGAAGTTGGCCAAAAACCTGCCTTTTTCAACAAGCCCCATGCACAAGTGAAGTGAGATGAAAGCTTTCATTTCAGGGACCGTCACATCATACCATTCATGAAATCTAGAGTTTGGTTTCAAGGTTTCTCTTTCAAAAATTGGTGGACATATCTACTTGTTTCAGTGGAAATGAGGCTTCAGAATGTGTCATTGAGAAACAGAGAAATGAAATCAATGGGCTCAGAATTTGTCATATTATCTCCACAATAACCAACAGGCTCTTCAAAATCTCTGATCCACTTTTGATAATCTTCATCTACTCTCAAGAGCTGCCAGCCATCCTCATCATCGTCACCACCGCTGGTCTGGGAACGCCATTAGCGGTGTTTTTCCCCCGCGGCTTGTCCCTTGTCTACCACAACAACGAGGTGGTTTCCACTCTCCCCACTACATTCACCCATGCCCCCACGACCACGTCCCCTGCTCAGTGTTTGCAGAATGCCCCCCCCCCAGCCACGTTGACGTGAAGTATCCGCTATACTGTGGGCAGACTGTGGACTATGACGCGAGGACCGTCACTACTCATGTTACTTTCTGCTTCACTGGACAACTCCGTGTCCTCCTCCTCTGAATCTGAGTCAGCTAGCACCTGACCAAGTACTTCATCAACGGTAAAACAACCTCTCTTCATCGTGAATGAATGAAAAAACACTCTTTCTCTATGTTCTGCTCTCGCTACGCTCTGCACTACTGCCACTTCTCTGCCTCCGCCTAAGTGCGCCGAAGGCTGTCACACAAACTCATTTTACTCAAAAACTTTTCATAAAACCACGCCCACAAATGCTGCTCATATTACAGGCACACATGTCTGCCATCTCCTGGTCAAAAGTATGAAGAAGATTCAACACCATATTTAAAGATACAGCCTGTTTAAAGGAGCTATGTTGCTTTGGCGCTTAAAGGGTTAAGCTTCATCTCTAGTTTGTCCTTTTCCATTTTCCCAAACTCAGCTCAATAAGCAGTGAGCTCCAGGAGAATGAACCTTTTAATGAAGTCACTTCAACACTCACACTTTCTGAGTCCTGGAGTTAACCTCTGAGCTCCAGAATGCTCCAGTCTGAAACACATTAAATCTCGTTAAAACATCTGTCACACTAAGGCCATGTATTCTTTGATGTGTGATGTCACATGTCTCTTCTGTCCTTACAGACCATACCTGAGAGTGTGCAGGGTGCAGTGGGGGTCCTCCAGCAGAGCAGACAGCAGCTTTACTCCTGTGTCTCCTGGATGGTTGTAGCTCAGGTCCAGTTCTCTCAGATGGGAGGCGTTGGACCTCAGAGCTGAGGCCAGAGAAGCACAGCCTTCCTCTGACACCAAACAACCTGACAGACTGAACACACACATTATTGTAATCACTCAGTTCATGACTAACATTCAACCCAAATGAGACACAGAACAATCCTTTATCTTTAACTGTCTTTGTCCACTGGTATTGTCCAAAACAATGACCAACAGGTTCTGTAAGAACAGTGAATCATATGAACCCTCTGACCTGAGCGTCTCCAGTTTACAGTGAGGACTCTTCAGTCCATCAGACAACAGCTTCAGCCCTGAGTCCTTCAAGTTGTTGTGACTCAGGTCTAGGACTCTCAGACTAGAGGACTGGGAGCTGAGGACTGAGGCCAGAGCTCCACAGCTTCTGTCTGACAGCTCACAGCAGCTCAGTCTGGAGACAGAAAACATGGTTATGTAGAAGTTTAATGAATCCTGTGTTAAAAAAAGGTTACTCACAGAGCTTTGGTGGAGGCCTTGACCACTGGCAGCAGCCTCAGGAGAGCTTCCTCTGAAGCACAGTATCTGCTCAGATCAAACTGGTCCAGATCTTCTTCTGATGACAGTAAGATGAAGGTCAGAGCTGACCACTGAGCAGGAGACAGTCCTTCAGACAGACGTCCTGACCTCAGGGTCTGTTGGATCTGCTCCACCAGAGAAGAATCATTCAGTTCATTCAGACAGTGGAGCAGACTGATGCTCCTCTCTGCAGACACATCCTCACTCAGCTTCTTCTTTATGTACTCTGCTGTCTTCTGATTGGTCTGGGAGCTACTTCCTGTCTGTGTCAGCAGACCGTTTAGAAGGCTCTGATTGGTCGACACTGAAAGGCCCAGGAGGAAGCGGAGGAGCAGGTCCAGGTGTCCGTTTGGACTCAGTAAGGCCTGGTCCACAGCTGTCTGGAAGAATTGTAGTAAATCTTTTTCAGTGACGCGATGCTTTATCGTGGACATTATGGACTTTCTCTCTACCAGCAGATTAATTCCAGTCTTGATGAAGGTCTGATGGACATGAAGAGCAGCCAGAAACTCCTGTACACTCAGATGGATGAAGCAGTAGACCTTGTCCTGGTACAGGCCTGGCTCCTCTCTAAAGACCTGTGTGAAGACTCCGGAGTACACTGAGGCGGCTGCAGCGTCCAGCCCACACTCGCTCAGGTCACAGTCGTAGAAGATCAGGTTTCCTCTCTGCAGCTGCTCAAAGGCCAGTTTTCCCAGAGACTCCACCATCTTCCTGGTGTCTGGACTCCAGTGTGGGTCTGTCTCTGATCCTTCTTTATACTTGATGTTCTTGACTTTGGCCTGAACCACCAGGAAGTGGCTGTACATCTGCGTCAAGCTCTTGGGCAGCTCTCCTCTCTCTCTGCTCTTCAACACATGCTCCAGGACTGTGGCAGTGATCCAGCAGAAGACTGGCATGTGGCACATGATGTGGAGGCTTCTGGACGTCTTGATGTGGGAGAGGACTGTGTCGGCCTGTTCTCCGAACCTCCTCCTGAAGTACTGCTCCTTCTGAGAGTCGCTGAACCCTCGGACCTCTGTCACCATGGAGACGCACTCTGCAGGGATCTGATTGGCCGCCGCGGGGCGTGTGGTGATCCAGAGGCGAGCGGAGGGAAGCAGGCTCCCCCTGATGAGGTTCACCAGCAGCAGGTCCAGAGAGACGGACTCTGTGGGGTCTGAGAGGGCACGAGAGCTGCTGAAGTCCAGAGGAAGTCTGCACTCGTCCAGACCGTCAAAGATGAAGAGCACCTGGGGGTCTTCAAAGCTGCAGAGATCTGCTTGTGTTTGACTAAAGAAGTGATGAACAAGTGACACCAGGCTGAAGCTTCTGGTCTTCAGAAAATTGAGAGTTCTGAAAGTGAAGGGGAACAGCAGCTGGAGGTCCTGGTTGGCTTTGCCTTCAGCCCAGTCCAGACTGAACTTCTGAGTGAGCACTGTTTTCCCGATGCCAGCCACGCCCTTTGTCAGCACCGTTCTGATTGGTTTGTCTGAGTGGGCTGGGTCTTTAAAGATGTCTTCACATGTGATGGTTCTCTCTGCTGGTCTCCTGGAGGCTGCTTCCATGTGTCGGACCTCATGTTCCTGGTTGACCTCTGAAGAGCCTCCCTCTGTGATGTAGAGCTCGGTGTAGATCTGATTCAGGAGGGTGGGGGCTCCTGCTTTAGCGATGCCCTCAAACACACACTCAAACCTCTGCTGCAGATGCTCCTTCAGTTTACGCTGAGGACATCCAGAATAAGTCCCTGAATGAAGACAACAGAGACAGAGTCAGAGAAGATCACATGACCATCATGAACGTGTTCTTACTGCTCCACAGACGCTCAGCCAGCTCCTTCTGGTCCATCCTCCTCAGGAAGTTCAGTGTGATCTTCAGGAGCGCCTCACTGCTGCTCCTCTGCTCCTCATCCTCCACAGGCTCTAAGCATTCTGGGTAATCTGTGCTCAGAAGCCTTTGGAACTTCTTCAGCTCCTTCTGGACAAAAGTGGAGAGGTCCTTCTTCAGGCGCTGCACACACATAAGAAACAACACAAACAATAACTGTTTCCATCTGACACGGCGCAAGATGGTGCCGTGTCATGGCGCCGCAGTGAGAGCTCTAGTGTGCAAAATCTGTGTTTTGTTGCTGTTTGTCTTTGAGTCACTTGCCACTGTGAAGTATGACCGAGAGGCGCTTCTTAACATTCGGGACCTTGCGTGTGACGGGTCACTCGTTTTACCCGAACTGAGGTGCACGAACTTCCTCGAATGTCCCACTTGAGAGGCCCGTGGAGCACGGCAGGCGGGCCGCGGCGGTGGCCGCCAACAGAGCGAGGGGACTGGGCATCTCCGGCGTTCTCTCCGCGGTGTGGAGCTGGGCACCTCGAGTCGGCGTAGGAGGCGCAGACACCGGGGAAGGCGAGGCGGTCTGCTCGATCGAAGCCGCTCCTCCAGGACCGCTCTGCCCTCCATCTACCTGGCCAACGTCCAGTCTCTGCCCAACAAGACGGACGAGCTCCTGTGTCGGGTCCAGAGCCAGCGCGAGGCCCGGGACTGCGCTGTGTTCTGTCTCAGCGAGACGTGGCTCCACTCGAACGTCCCGGACTCTGCTGTTCAGCCCCCGGGATTCACCGCTCACCGCGCGGACAGAGTGAAGGAGACCACGGGCAAGGCCAGAGGCGGAGGTGTGTGCTTTTAATTAATCAGCGCTGGTGCACGGACACTCGAATCGTGAACCAAACATGTACTGCCAATCTGGAATGTCAATGTGGTTTTTTACTGCAAATGGCAAATAAACTGAATCTGAATCTGATCCGAGTGGAGCACATGTCTGGTTCAGGTCCAAGGACTTTGCTCGACATCCTGCTCCACCCAGAGGCTACTCCACCTCTGCTGCTGTGACCCGTCCTGCTCCACCCAGAGGCTACTCCATCTCTGCTGCTGTGACACGTCCTGCTCCACCCAGAGGCTACTCCACCTCTGCTGTTGTGACACGTCCTGCTCCACCCAGAGGCTACTCCACCTCTGCTGCTGTGACCCGTCCTGCTCCACCCAGAGGCTACTCCATCTCTGCTGCTGTGACCCGTCCTGCTCCACCCAGAGGCTACTCCACCTCTGCTGCTGTGACACGTCCTGCTCCACCCAGAGGCTACTCCATCTCTGCTGCTGTGACCTGTCCTACTCCACCCAGAGGCTACTCCATCTCTGCTGCTGTGACCCGTCCTGCTCCACCCAGAGGCTACTCCACCTCTGCTGCTGTGACACGTCCTGCTCCACCCAGAGGCTACTCCATCTCTGCTGCTGTGACCTGTCCTACTCCACCCAGAGGCTACTCCATCTCTGCTGCTGTGACCTGTCCTACTCCACCCAGAGGCTACTCCACCTCTGCTGCTGTGACCTAAACGGCTGTTGCTGATTATTACTATTGTTATGTTTTTAGAATGATCAATTTTATTTTTAATTGTTGACGCTACTGGACACCTTAATTTCTCCAACAGGGATCAATAAAGTATCTATCTATCTATCTATCTAACATGGCTGCAGCGTGTCATGTGACCCAGTTAGTGCACACTAAAACTATTTATTTATACATTATCTAGTTTCTTAGTCGGGTTACATCTGTACATTACATAAACATCTCAATCAATCAATCTTTATTTATGAAGCACATTTAAAACAGCCGTGACTAAAGTGCTGAGGCTGAGAAGGTTCTTCTAATAAAACAAAAGTGTAAAGAAGCTAGTTCTGTTTGATCACCACATGTTTAGACGTCTGCCTTTGTCAGAGAAACGTGAAGGTGCAACGTGTCTCTGATCAGCTGTTGTTCAGATGACCACGCCCCCTCCGGCTGACCACGCCTCCTCTGACTGACCACGCCCCCTCAGATTGACCACACCCCCTCAGACTGACCACGCCCCCTGTGGTCTCTGGAGAAGTGAGTCCCAAGCGTGAATCAAGGTGAAAACCCCCTGGTCCCTGTTGATGGTCCGTGCGCCACACTTCCTGGTTTTAGTCAGGTCTGATGGATCAGTTCCATCTCCTCAGTTTGACTGCATCCTGAACTTCCTTCAAACAAGTTTTGGTTCAGAACGGTTCGAATGGGCAGATATATTATTATAGATATATTTGGACATCATCAGCGAAGCAGTGGTTATCAATATTCTGCTTCTTAAATATAGCTCCCAGGGGAAGCAAGTAAAGGCAAAAGAGGGTGGGGCCTAAAATACTGCCTTGGGGCACTCCTCACTTTAAGTCTCATACTTTAGAGAACTATCACAGTTGGACAGAAAAAGATCAATCCGTGAGACAGGACTGAAAGTGCAGTTCCTGTGACGGTCCACCGTATCGAAGGCTGATGGTTAATCTAGGAGAACGAGAGCAGAAGGGTGGCCAGAGTCTGAGACTGAGATCATTCAGGTCTATGTTTGGCTTTGAAACCTGAACTTCTCAGTGATGTATCAAGACTCTGTGCTGTGTATCTAATGATTCAGAGGAAGCTCCAGGATTCAGCCTGATCATTTTCACTTGTCTCTTTGTTCGTCTTGTGTCTTCAGAACAGAGTGGGTTTTATATTCTCTTCATGAGTTTCTGTGGTTGTGTTTCCACCTCCTGTTAGTGATGTCACACTTCAAACTGTGCTTTAACACCAGGAGATGGAACACATCAGTGTCACATGTGTGTGAAACTAGTCCTTCAGCTGAACATCTCCAAACGTGAGTGAATGACAGACCTTAAATACAGAGTCCTGGCCTGTGCGATGGTGCGGACCACTGGAGACCTCTGCAGCCGCTCTGTGGAGAGACAGAGACACTTACAGAGGGAAACACAGTATTTAGTCAGTTAGACAAGTCCTCCCACTTCAAAAGGAGAGAGACCTTTTATCATAGTTTACCTCAACTATGAGACAAAATGGGAACATTTTAAAAACTGTATTTAAACTGATGGTGGTGTCCTGGGCTGAAGCGCTAGGCCTGGATTGGTTAAATGTGTTCTGATTCTGCATTAAACTCTTTTTAATACATAACTCAGTCAATCCTTCTCCAAAACTATTTTGTGCAGGAACCTGATCTTCTGTGGAACAGGTGGAAAGTCTGTAACTTCTCCTTTAAGAGACTCCTCTGTCCTCCACTCTTATTACTATTGCAACAACACATCATCAGTAAAACTAACCTGTCTCATGACGGTCTAAACCCAGCTCACGTTCCCTATTAGTGGGTGAACAATCCAACGCTTGGTGAATTCTGCTTCACAATGATAGGTTGAGCCTTTATTAATGTCTGTGAGGATCTCATGGGCGACAGGGTACCCCTGCTCAGTCTCTGTGAGGATCTCATGGGCGACAGGGTACCCCTGCTCAGTCTCTGACCACCCAGTCCTCTGGTTTCTCTAAGGACCACCCAGTCCTTTGGTCTCTGTAAGGACCACCCAGTCCTCTAGTCTCTGTGAGGACCACCCAATCCTCTGGTCTCTGTGAGGACCATCCAATCCTCTAGTCTCTGTGAGGATCTCACGGGCGACAGGGTACCCCTGGTCAGTCTCTGTGAGGATCTCACGGGCGACAGGGTACCCCTGCTCAGTCTCTGATGACCACCCAGTCCTCTAGTCTCTGTGAGGACCACCCAGTCCTCTGGTCTCTGTGAGGACCACCCAATCCCCTAGTCTCTGTGAGGACCACCCAGTCCTTGGTCTCTGTGAGGAGAGGACCACCCAGTCCTCTGGTCTCTGTAAGGACCACCCAGTCTTCTAGTCTCTGTTAGGACCACCCAGTCCTCTGGTCTCTGTGTGCAATCCATGAATCTTGGTGCTGTGACCTGGGCTAGCCTAGCCGTGGCTGCTGCTGTCTCACCTCCTTTCAGATACGCTCTCTTTATTCAAGGCTAGGTTTAAAACAGTCCTCTTTAGTTTAGCATATGGCTAGGAAGGTAAGACTCAGGGAAGGCTAAACTCCTCAGACTGTCAGTCAAGCTGCATAGGGAGCCCCCTGCTGAAGACGTATGGTAACTTGAGCACTATCCTCTCCTCCTTCCTACTTTATCTGTTTAGCATTTTTAGGATTTTGACTGTAGTTTGTTCATTGCTATTCACCCGTTGTCCCATTGTCTGTTTCATGGTACGATGACGGGATCTCTGAGCCTGGCCTCCTCCATCTACACCTGCGGACTGCCCCGCCCGACCCACCTGGGAGTGCTTCAGTCCTGCACCGGACCTGTCCACGTTCAGCGGCCACTGGTCCACGTTCTGTAGCTAGCTTAGGTCCTGGATCATTAGCCTGTCCGTCCGGAGGAGCGGATCCCTTTCTCAAATGGGTCTCCCTCCCTGTGGGTTTCCCTAGTTCTCCCCAAGGTTTCTCACTTTTTCCCACTGGGTTTTTTAAGAGTTGTTCCTTGTGGATGCAGGAGGGTCTTGTTGGACAGTTAGTGTCCAACAGAAAGGATTGGTGATGATCAGGACACTTTAACATTCTACAACATGTATGGACATTTTCTTCTGTGTGTGCTTTATATTCTTCATGTGTTTTAACTGTTGATTCTCTGACCTGTGTTGGTGATTTCAATGGTTTTGTTAAGTCTCTGAGATGACTTCTGTTGTGACCTAGGGCTATACAAGAATACATTGTATTGTATTGTATTGTATTGTGAGGACCACCCAGTCCTCTGGTCTCTGTGAGGACCACCCAGTCCTCTGGTCTCTGTGTTCAGTCAGATATTGTTGAGCGGTCTCAGTCTTTTACCATTATTACTACTATAACTGTTACTACTATACCTCCCATCTCTGTGTGGAGTGAGAGACAAATGCCCAAAAAAAGTAACAATTGTAAACCGCTTTGTGACTCTGGTCTTTGCCCAAAGCCCCCACTGAAAGATCAAGGCTATGCTCACAGTCAGAGAGCAGCCGTCCTCCTGTGGACTCACCACCTGCAGAGGGTCAGTGAGGGGCTGGTGCTATGAGACTTGGGTGGCATCTCTGACTGCCACCCCCCTGACCCAGAAATGGATTAAAGGGAAGAAAATGGATGGATGGATGGATAAAGTCAGTGGGAGCAATTATTATAAAATGGAAGACATACAAACAGGGGTGGACTGGCCATCGGGCGTACCGGGCAATGCCCGAAGGGCCGATGCCCATATTTGGGCCGGCCTGTGAGCTTCATAGAAAAATATATTTTTGAGAAATGTGTAAATCTGTTAAAACATGTTCGAGGGGGGCATGACCGCGGGGCACCTGCTGTTGAATACTGTAGGAACTCGAACGCTTTGGACAGCGGCTCTCGCTGCCTGTGAGCCGCTGTGACGACAACACGTCAGCGGACAGCCATAACAGGACCATGTAACCTTGACCATATACACCCACAGGACCATGTACCCTAGACAATATACACCCACAGGACCATGTAACCTAGACCATATACACCCACAGGACCATGTACCCTAGACCATATACACCCACAGGACCATGTAACCTAGACCATATACACCCACAGGACCATGTACCCTAGACCATATACACCCACAGGACCATGTAACCTAGACCATATACACCCACAGGACCATGTACCCTAGACCATATACACCCACAGGACCATGTAACCTAGACCATATACACCCACAGGACCATGTAACCTAGACCACAGGATCATGTACCCTAGACCATATACACCCAAAGGACCATGTAACCTAGACCATATACACCCACAGGACCATGTACCCTAGACACCCAAAGCAGGACCATGTGCCCTAGACCATATACACTCACAGAACCATGTAACCTAGACCATATACACCCACAGGACCATGTAACCTACACCATATACACCCACAGGACCATGTACCCTAGACCATATACACCCACAGGACCATGTTACCTAGACCATATGTAACTCATTTGATATGTTTCAGTCCGGCTTTAGACCCCACCACAGCACTGAGACTGCTCTCGTTAAGGTTACAAACGATATCCGGCTGAACACTGACGCAATATTGTTAGATCTAAGTGCTGCCTTTGACACTGTCGACCATGAGATCCTCTTACAGAGACTAGAGGACTGGGTTGGCGTCGCTGGCACCGCCCTAAGTTGGTTTAGGTCTTACCTTGAGGACAGGAAGTACTTTGTGGAGATTGGAAACTGTGTCTCAGATCATATGGCCCTGACCTGTGGAGTACCACAGGGGTCGATCCTGGGACCTCTTTTGTTCAATCTCTACATGCTGCCGTTAGGTCAGTTAATACGCAGAAACGAAGTGTCCTATCACAACTATGCAGACGACACTCAGATCTATGTCTCACTGACTGCAGGAGAACATGGACCAGTGGACTCACTCCTTCACTGTATCCAACAGATCAGTGAGTGGATGCAAAACAACTTCCTTCAGCTAAACGCAGACCAAACTGAAATAATTGTCTTTGGTCCCCAGAAACAAAGAGAGAGCGTCATCTGTCACCTCCAGTCTCTCTCCCTAAAACCTTCAAACAAGGTCAGAAATCTAGGGGTAATACTGGACTCAGACTTAAATTTTAATAGCCACATCAAATCAGTAACATCAGCAGCTTTTTACCATCTAAAAAACATTGCCAGGATCAAAAACATAGTGTCTAAAGCAGACCTGGAGATTCTTATCCATGCATTTGTCTCCAGTAGGTTAGACTACTGCAATGGCCTGCTCACAGGTCTGTCCAAACAGGCTGTAAAACAGCTGCAGTACATTCAAAAGGCAGCAGCTCGAGTCCTGACAAGAACCAGGAAGTACGACCACATTAGTCCTGACTTGAACCAGGAAGTATGACCACATTAGTCCTGACTAGAACCAGGAAGTACGACCACATTAGTCCTGACTAGAACCAGGAAGTACGACCACATTGGTCCTGACTAGAACCAGGAAGTACGACCACATTAGTCCTGACTAGAACCAGGAAGTACGACCATATTAGTCCTGACTAGAACCAGGAAGTACGACCACATTAGTCCAGTTCTCAGGTCTCTGCACTGGCTTCCTGTGGCTCAGAGAATAGACTTTAAAACAGCTCTGCTTGTTACTAGTCTCTCCATGGCCTCGCACCAAAATATATTAGTGACATGTTAGTCCCATATGAACCAGCCCGGACTCTGAGGAGCACAGGGACTGGACTCCTGCTGGGACTCTGAGGAGCACAGGGACTGGCCTCCTGCTGGGACTCTGAGGAGCACAGGGACTGGACTCCTGCTGGGACTCTGAGGAGCACAGGGACTGGACTCCTGTTAGTGTCCAGAGTCAGGACTAAACTACTTACTAACGCCGTTACTTTTTTCAGTAACGAGTAATCTAACTAATTACTTTGACAGTAACTATAACTCTGTTATCATAAACATCCCGTTACTGCGCGTTACTCAAGACGCACAATGAACTTCTCTTTTTCCTTCGTGATAGGACTCTGTTGTCATGAGAGAAGGATGAGAAAACCTCTCAGATATTATTGGCTGATGTAAAACATATTTCCTTTACAGTCTACATGTCTGCAGTTGAGAGGATGTTCATGAAGTGTGTTTTTGAAACAAATGGGTCTTAATCACACTCTACCACGGCTTGTATCACCGTGAGGCCTCAGAGGAGCTCATGTGAGCGCAGAAGGCTGCATACAATTCCATAGAAAAGCTCCTTTCTCTTCCTGGTTTATCTGCTAAGGACAGCAGCAGGTTTGGCTAACATACATATAACACATTTTAAGATCATTTAAAATGCACTTAGGGTCATTTTTCAATGACTGTAGGAATGATAAGAAAGAGGTGAAGTGTAAGACGGTTGGTTTTAGAAATTGGATGCAGCCGGCTGCAGCAA